CCTCTGCACCTCAGTGAGCCTCCCATTCTTTGGCCCTTCGTTATGTCGCCTTCTGTTTTCCTGTGTCTCCTCGTGGGGCTGTGTCTGGGTATCTCAGTCTCTGCTCTCTTCTTGTCTCCCTTTGCACCCCTGAGTGCCTCCTGGCACAACCCTCTCTCCATCCCCACCAGGCTCTCTTTTCCTCTCTTTTTATGACTTTCTTCCAAGAAATTCATCCTCATTTTTCTCCCCTTCTCTTTTCTGCTTCTCTCTCTCTCTCTCTCCCCGACCCTCTCTCTCTCTCCCTCTCTCCCTCTCTCAAAAGCAACAACATATTTTTATTGATTTCAGAGAGAGAGCAAGGGAGAGGGAGATAGAGATAGAAACACCAATGATGAGAGAGAATCATTGATTGGCTGCCTCCTACAAGCCCCACACTGGGGATTGAGCCCACAATCCAGGCATGTGCCCTGACCAGGAATCAAACCATGATCTCCTGGTTCATAGGTCGACACTCGACCACTGAGCCACACCGGCCGTGCTCTGCTTCTTCTTTAACAAACTGCCACACAGAACTAAATGCATGTTTTAAATATTTATGAAATAAACTTTTACATTCTCTGGGTTTTATTCTTTAAATTGTTTGAGGACTATGTGGACTTCTCTGTGTTGTCTGAGTTTCTTACAAGAGCATAAGCAACTATTGAAAGCTTTTTTATTGAAATATGGCATACATAGAGAAAAGGGCACCTGTAGAGGGCCACAAACGTGCCACACACAGAGCCCACTAATGCCAACTAACAGCATCAGTGTGGCCAGCACTCATGGAAAGGTGCCCATGCTCCCCTCCTGTCATTCTCCCGACGCAAGTCACCACTATCCTGATCTCTTCCAGGATACATTAGTGTTTTTTATTATTATTATTATTATTATTATTACCACCCCCTCCCCCTCTTTCTTGAGCCCTGATTAAACTTACAAACTCAGCCTGGTATATGGGGTGATCCCTCCATCTGTACTACATAAACATTAGCTGGAAACCACATAACAATTCACCTTATATACAGCTAGAGGCCCAATGCATTGTCAGAGAGAGTGGAGTGAAAGGGAAGGAGGAAGAGGGGGAGGAGAGAGAGAGGGAGAAACATGGATGTGAGAGAGACATATCCATCAATTGCCTCTGCACTGGCGCCCCAACTGGGGCCAAGGATTGAACCTACAATCAAAGTACATGCCCTTGACTGGGAATCAAACCTGAGACCCTTTAATGCAAGGGCTGACGCTCTAACCACTGAGAAAAACTGGCCAGGGCTAGATTAGCATTTTTGGATAAAATACAAAATACCTGGTTTTGTATTTTACTAGTATGTCAACAGAACGCTGTAACATGTACTCTTTTGTGTCTAGCTTCTACGGCTCAGCATTGTGGTAGGGAGTCACCCAGACTGTTGGCTGTAGTAACAGACTCTTCATTCTCCAAATCCATGGTACCCAGGGTGGGGCTAGCCCACGATTTGTTTGCCCTTCTATTGTCAATGGCCATTTAACAGCTATTACAAATAGTGCTGTCATTACCATGCATGAATGTTTCTTTTGAAGGCATGTATTACTTTTATATTCAGGAGACAAAACTATTTCCACTGGGAAACATGGAGAGGGATGACCAAGTGGGATGTTTTGGAAAAGGGCTCTGGAGTAGGAAGCAGAACACATGCGTCCTCGTTCTGGCTTCTCTCTTCTCTAGTTCCAGACTTTGAGCCAATCAATTAACCTCAGTGAGGCTCCATTTTTTCATCTGCAAAATATGTAATATCTGCTATTGGTAGGTGGATAAGATGATGGATATGAGGGAAAATGCATCATGCAAAAATCAAGGACATCATTTTATTAAAGAAGAAATTAACAGTTACATTATGAGGCTCTTGATTTATCTGTTTTTAAATTTTGAAAATAATCATTGAATCTGTGACTTTCATTAGACAAAAGATCTCCCAAATCTTTGACCCATTGTAGGCAATAAAAGATAAATAAATAACAAATAAAAGATAATACAGTGGAACCTTGGCTCTCGAACTTAATTTGTTCCAGAAGGCTGTTCAAAAACCAAAGTCCCCCCCCGTCATTTTTCTAATGTAAATTGAATTAATCCGTCCCAGACTCCCAAATGATTCCATTTTAACCTGTCTTATATATAGTACATGTCTAATGTACTGTTTAATCTATAAATAAACACTTTAAAGACAAAAGGACATAAAATGTAAATGAAAGTTTAAAAAAAGGAAATGAAATGTATAGTAAAAAAAGGAAAATTTAATAATAAGCAGCAACAACAACAACAAAAAGAAAATATTCACAGCATGATTTTCTGAGATGTTTACAGTGGTAAACTGACTCATACTCACACATTCTCTCCTTCGTTTGTCGCCTAAGAGACACGTGACTGATCATACAGGTATTGGCATGAAAGGGCTGTCGGATTGAGAAGTGAATCGTTTGAGATGGGAGACGTGGGAGAACTGAGGTTCAACAGTAAATGTATCAAAATGTCCTGTTTCCAAAGGTCTTAGTTTTACATGGACAAGGGGGCACATGTGGCCAAGACGTCTTTTCCCCCTTCCAAGTGACCATGGTTTATAACATTTGGGGGATCCTGGTCTAGATAAGCAACAACACACAGACACACACATCCTCTCTGAGCTGTAGGGACCCAAGAGACGGGCCCAGCTTTCCTCCCCCACCCACAAGGGAGAGCGGCATGCCCACAGAGGACACACAGAGGCCAGGACTCGATTGTCTTCAGATACCAGCCCGGTGTCCGGTCCACTACCCTGCATTGTAAGGAGAGAACCAGACACGAGTGTGGGACAGGAAACAGGGCTACATGTCTGCTGACCAGCAGAGCAAACCTACGGCTCTGTGCTCTCTGCCAACACGGGGGCAATTGTTAGCGTAGGGAAGCTGGTGCTGTTCCCACACTGGGGTGGACACAGGCTAGGCACCCGCTGCTAGCTTCCACCCAATTCCTCCTCCCTTACCCACCAAACAAACCCTGTGCTCTGAGGCCAGGGCCCTCAGCTCCCATGACACTGGCAGCCCTGTGCTTGGCGCTCAGGGGATGCGAAGCTGCAGGGTCCCTGCCCTCATCTGAGTGGGGGGAGAAGCATGGCCTGAATCAGAGAACAGTTCAGGAAGGAAGCAAGAGGGGCTCTGAGCAGGGACTCATGAAGAGACGGAGAAATGAAGGGGAGCCTTGAAAACTAGGCAGAGACGAGTGATCCGCATCCCTGACTGGACATTAGAACTGCCCAGTGAGTTTTTACGAAAGGTCAGTGCCTGGATCCCACCTACCTAATGAGAACCTCTGGCCACGGGGCCTGGGCATCAGTATTCTTTAAAAGCTCTCCAGGCGATTCTAATGTGCAGCCAGGGTTGAAACCACAGCCTTAAACTTAGTGCCACAGGAAATAGAGACAGTGTAAGCCTTCAGGGCAGAGACACATGAGCAAAGTGGTTGCTCAAGGAGCATTTACTGAGCACCTACTCTGTACCAGCAGGCACTGTGCTGGGCTTTTGGTACACAGGGATGAGAAAGATAGAGAGTACCTGCCCTTGACTAGCCAGCAGATTAGGCGAAAAGACAGATCCATAATAAGAATAATATAAAGTGTCTGATGTAAGTATGAACCACGTGCTCTGAGAACATTAAGGATTTTCTGGAGAAAGCTTTCTTAGAGACGTGACATTAGAATGTGTTCCTGAAGGAGCTTACCAAGCAAAGAAACAGAGGAGAACATTTTACTAGTAAGTGGGAAAAGGTAACAGACAGGTGCTGAGTCCTACAGAGGCCTGCTGTGTTCAGTATAACAGGGGCATGGGGAGGGGATGCTGGGAAGAAGGCCGCAGGCAGACACCAAGGGCCCAGTTCTGTCTGAGCTCTGTATTTGAAAATGAGCTGGAGAGAGCAGATTAGCAGAGTCAGAGAGAGGCAGGGAGGCCAGTCAGGAGCCACCGCAGGGATCCAGACGTGAAGTGATGAAGGCCCAGACTGAGGAATGGATGGTGGGAATGAGGAAGAGAGCAACCCAAGAGTCATGTCCAAAAAAGGCAACTGGTTGAATCTGGTGACAGAACAGATGTAAGTATAGCAAAGTTGTGTGTGTGTGTGTGTGTGTGGTGTGTGTGTGGAGGAGGGGCGGGGACGGGGGGGGAGGGGCGGTGTGCAAAGATGGCCTCCCAATATGATTTGAGACAGTAGGAGACCAGGAGAATATGGCATTAGCAAAGATGGGGATGCTGGGTAGATTATGTGAATTTCATGTAACTGCAAGACATCCACATGGAGATGTATCCAAAAGGCTGCTGAAGGGCAGAAATCGGATTGTGGAGGGTGAGGAGGGAAAGTACACGGAGAGAAAGTGGGATATCCAGGTTTAAACTGTTTATACCAGGCATTTGGCATAGAAAGAAAAAAAAATGGACGGCAGCTGGCAGACCAGGCACAGGTATGGATTTACCAGGACTGGCCTGTGTGTGGCGGGGGCCAGGGTGTCGGGGCGGGGGGGTACAAGGGAAGGCGGAGGAAACAGAGGTAGCTGAGGGGGTAGGCCCATGAGGTGTAAAAGTGTGGCCTCTAGCGAAGGAGGAGTGTTTACCCTTTGGAAGGAGAGGTGTTTCCTAGTGGAGATACAGATGTCCGAGAAAACCTTGCCAAGGCCTGGATCAGATCAACCCCCCTGAAGCAGGGTCCAGGAAACTTTCCCATAAAGAGCCAAGAGTGGATGTTTCAGGCTTTGTGGGCCATGTGGTCTCTGTCTCAACTACTCAACTCCACTGTTGCTGTGCAGGTGCAGCCAGTGAATGAGTGGGCGTGGCTGTGTCCCAATCAAACTCTATTTTCAAAACCAGGCAGTGATTAAAACGGTCCATTTTATTTTGTGTGGATTTTACTTCAATTAAAATAAAACAAAACAAAAGACAGACCCTGGGCTTGATTTGGCCCAGAGGGTATAGCTTGCCCATACCTGCTATAGAGGTGAAGAAGGAGTAGATGGGAACCTACAGAGAGAAGACAAGGCCTATGCTGGCCTCCATGGGGACTGTGAGGAGTGATCAGGAGAGATCTGAGTTCAAATCCAGCTCTGCCTCTTACTAGCTATGTGACCTTGAGTGAGTTACTTATCTTTCCTGAGCCTTTGTCTCCTCATCTGTAATATGGGGGACGCAACAGGGCCTTCTTCACTGAGTTGTTGTGAGGATCAAAGGAGACGATGCATATGAGTGTCTAGCATAATGCCTGGCTCAATACAGATTTTCTTACTGAATTTTTAAGGACTGATCATGAATTGCAGGGTCATAGCTGCAGCGGGTGCCATGACCATGGGGCCCAGGCAGTGCCGTGATCGACAGTGTAGAGCTCTCCACCTTTCTCTGACTCGTATCAGACTGGAATATGAGGCAGACACAAATGTATAAAGTGCCAAGTCACTGAGATTTAGGGGCTGTTTGTTGCAGCAGCAAGTCCACCCTGACCAATACAGATACGTAGAGTCACACAGAGGTGCTCATCTGACAAGCAGCTCAATTAAAAACTGACTGCCACTGGACCATCTCCCCCTGAGACTTTCAGTTTGGGGTTCGTATTTGAAAGCAGTGCTGTTTTCTCCATCCTCAACCTCTTACCACATATGGCATATGTCACATCGCACCGAGGAGCACTCATCCAGCCCGCTAGCTGGCTGCTGGGGCACGACTGCTAATCCTTTGAAATGCCACTCACCCTGAGGGCTTCCCAGAGTGACTCTGACGTAGACCACGTGGCCCATAGTGTAAGCCAGGCCTCCCATTTGCTGAGTCCAGCCTTGTTGTTGCGGGGGTTTTTTTGTGTGTGTTTTTTATAGAGTGCCTTCTCTGACGAACACAGTCAGGAGAGGACACACATGTGCTTGCACACACACACATACTCTCATAGGTGTGTTTTTAAGAAACAATAAAATAGGCTAAAAACCGAGGCTCTCGACTATTTTTGAGACTCCCATTTAGAGAACTGCTTCTGCCTCTTTTAGAAGAAGGCTTGTGGCCACCCTCACCTCAGTGACTGGTCAACTGCTCTCTGTCCTCCATTCACCCCAGCCCCTCAGTCTTGAACACAGGGAAAGTGCACCCGCCTTGATGCTGGGAAATGGGCTGCGTGCCCAGGAGCCCAGCTAGCAGGGGACCCCCTGATGCGGTGGGTCTTTCTTGCCATCTGCTTTGCCTTTTCCTTAATGTGGCCTCCCCCTCTTCTGCCTCAAGAGTCAGGGCCTCATGCCTGTGCTTGCTACCTCAAACCAATACACTGGCATCCATTTCTGCCTGTGTGTGAGCCTCCTGCCAGGAGCCCAAGTACATCTCTCTGATGCCAGAGTGCTGCATGGTGTGCGGTGAGCACAGACCCCTGTATTCCCTTGTCTGTTGAGAAGTGCAAACAGTATGGAATAACCCCAGCTGTGCAAGCACCACCTCGGACCCTCTCTTGGGCATCTATGTGGACATCAAGGGTATAAACCATGGCAAGAAGTGGGTAATTTGCTCTAGAGTAAGCCTCAGTTCAAAATAACCAGTGAGTGGGTAGGCTTTTTGATGTCTAAGAAAAATTCCTAAGGCTCTGGGAAGGGAAGGGAGAAGCCTGAGAGAAGTGATATAGGAAAGTGGCCAAATGAGTGTAATAACCAAGGGTGTGAGGGGAGGAGGCAGAGTTAAAATGGTGACCAGGTGGTAACCCTTATTGGTTCTCCTCCCTGTGGCTGGGCCTGTGCAGATTTCCTGCTGTTGGCCAGTGAAGGTGTCCCACGATGTCTGTGGCCGACGAGACAGTGTGGCTGGTTGAAGCAGCAGGACTCCACTCTGCTCTGAAAGTTCAGGCTAGCAGGTGCCAAGAATCACTGCAGTTTCTCCTTCCTTCTTCCCTTCCTTCCTTCCTTCCTTCCTTCCTTCCTTCCTTCCTTCCTTCCTCTGTCCCCACAGTAAGTGACATGGAATCCGCAGGGGTGGGAGAAGAACATTTTTATGGCACCTCTTCCACCTTCATTTCCTCTCCAAAATGTGTCCAATCTTAGTATTCACAACTCCACTTGGAGGCAGGCAGAATTCTAATTCTCATTTTACAAAGAAGGAAATCAAGGCTCTGTGAGGTTAAGAAGCCTGCCCCAGGGCACAGAACTGGTAAGATCCAGGATTCAGAGATTTTCATCCCCAAAACCCATGAGTTTGCAACTATATACCAGCTCCTTCTCAAGTGAGTCCACTTAAAAGTTATAGAAATCCAAAACACCAATCAGAAAGAATATATGCACCCCTATGTTCATAGCAGCACAATTTACAATAGCTAAGATCTGGAAACAGCCTAAGTACCCGTCAGTACATGAGTGGATAAAAAAGTTCGGGTACATTTATACCATGGAATACTATGCAGCTGTAAAAAAAAAAATCTCTTACCATTTGAGACAGCATGGAGGGACCTGGAGGACCTGGAGAACATTATGCTAAGTGAAATAAGCCAGTCAGAGAAGGATAAGTATCACATGATCTCACTCATATGTGGAATCTAATGAACAACATAAACTGATGAGCAAAATAGATCCAGATACAGAGAAGCATGGGATAGACTGACGAATCTCAGAGGTGGGGGGGGAGGGGTGGGAGGGGAAAGATTAACTGGGGAATTTATATGCATATATGCATAGCCCAAGGACACAGACAATAGAGTGGAGAAGGCCTGGGAAGGGCTGGTGTTGGGTAGAGGCAGTCAATGGAGGGAGAAAAGGGGACATCTGTAATACTTTCAAAAATAAAAATAAAAATTTTTTAAATAAAAAAATATAAACCACACACACACACAAAAATAAAGGAATTTTAGCCAGCCAGTGTAGCTCAGTGGTTGAGCACCGACCTATGAACCAGGAGGTCACAGTTTGATTCCATCAGGGCACGTGCCCAGGTTTCAGCCTCAATCCCCAGAAGGAGGCATGCAGGAGACAGCTGATAGACAGTTCTCTCTCATCACTGATGTTCCTCTCTCTCTCTCTCTCTCTCTCTCTCTCTCTCTCTCTCCCCCTCCCTACCTCCCTACCTTGCTATAATCAATAAAAATATATTTTTTAAAAAAGTAAAGTCCAGGACTCTCAAACTTGCTAAATAAAACTTACTAAATAAAAAATCTGTGGGTGAGGTGCAGAAAGCTGCATTTTCAACAAGCCCGCCAGGTGATTCTGAGCGCACTGACCGTGGAGAGCCTCTCCCACAGAAGAGAGAGGTTATAACTGACCCAGCAGTACGTCCCTCCAGGCCCGGCAGAGAAACCACTGACTCTGGGCCAGGTGCTCCGCTTATCTGGGGAAGCCACTGAGGCCTGGATGCTGGTGATGAATGCTGAGCTCACAGAGGAACCAAAATAGTTCCGTCCCCCCATGCATTTATACCAAAAAACAGCTGCAAAGGTGTGGGGCGAACTGGGGACCATAAAAGCTTTTGAGAACATGAACCATGGGCTAATCACGATAATTTACCTTTTTAATTAAAAAGACCTCCACTGCACAAACATGGCTTACAGAGGCACGTACCCTTTGATCTCGCAATGCCACGTTTGGGAATTTATCCTTCAGAAATTCTTTATGCTTGTACATATGCACAAGATTATTCCGTGCAGAACTGATTACAATAGCAGCCAAAGACTGGAAATAATCCAAATGCCATGATTGTGGAGCTGATGGAATAAATTACAGTGCATTCATACAATGAAAAATAATGAGGAAACTGTACGTAATGATATGGAAATGTCTCCAAGATAGATCGTTAAGGGAAAATCGAGGTGCGGAACACATGTATAATACGCTATCTTTTGTGTATAAAAGGGGAGTAATCAGAATCCCCATTCCTATTTGCTGGTTTATCATCAAGAAATGCTGGAAATAATATAAAAACGGTGTGGTGACCTCTGGGGCAGAGAATGGAACTGAACAGACGGGGAGCAAGGATGATTATACTTTGGGGTTTGGAAAACATGTGGGTGCATTATTTATTCAACGAGTAAATAATAAAATAAAAATTTAAACAACCATTTATTGCGGCCCTCGGAACAAGCAGTCCGGTCTGGTTCTCCACACCCACAGGTCGTGGTGTCCGTGGGGAGCTCTTTAGACGGGGAGTGTGTTTCAGAGCCACCACCATCTGCATGGCTGCCCTGTCGGCGGTGGTGCGCCAGACCAGAACGCAGATAGATGTTCATTGTCCAACACGGCAGTGCGAGGACAGGCCTTTGAGTTTCTTACCGAGGAGAACCAGCTCCACAAAGGCTCTGGGATTGAAGTCCGCGGAGCACTAGACAGCTCCAGGAGAGGAGGGCCCTGGCTGCCCAGGACTGAGCGCTCAGCTAGTACTGAGGCATCAGCTGTTCTCGGCTCACCCGGGAGGAGTGGTGGTAGCGGTCCCGAGTGGCGAAGTCTGCGTTCTCTTGGGTGAGCTGAGTCATCTCCATGTCAACCTTCACCAGGGACGGCGCCAAAATGATCTGCTCCTGTGGGGATCGCAAGCTCCTTTGGTGAGAGAAACACAGAGGACCGTCAGAAGGAAAGACCAAGCGCTGAACAGGGAAGAGGAGTCTTCCCTGGGAGAGAAAAAGTATTTGCAAAAAACATTATTATCCTTAGTATTGAACATATATGTTAAAAAACACAACTGTACCTATTTTTGTTCATGAGGCAGAGAAGCATCAAACAGACTGTCAAACTGTAGCGGAAAGGCTGGGGAGGGTTGAGGGGGAGGTAAGAGATCAACTGAAGGACTTGTATGCATGCACATAAGCATAACCAATGGATGCAAGACACTGGGGGTGGGGGGGAGGTGGTGAGGCATGTATGGGGGCGTGGGAGGGGGGAGACAGGGGAGGCCAAGAGAAGGTCAATGGGGGAAAAAAGGAAACATATGTACTGCTATTTGTAATACTTTAAATAAAATAAAATTTAAAAAAACACAACTGGTGCAAGTTACATGTACAAATGTTTATGAATAAAGTATGAGAAATGAGTATAAAATAAGGAGAGAAGTGACTTTTACCTTTCTTTAGCATAAATGTATAAAAGTGTACAAAATAACCACCCAAACAGTGTCATGCTGGGACTCGATAGCATTTCTTTGCTTTTTTGTCAAGTGAAATAATGGAATGGAGAGGCTGAAAAACAGAGAAGAGTAGAAAGAGAAACCTCTTTGGCTCATGGGAAAGAAGCTGAGAGAGGAAGGATTTCCAGAGCTGAGGCTGACATCGCAGGCAGCTCCGAGACAAACTACAAAGGCTTTGACACCACATTGGCCTGAAGACAAAGAACAAGTCCCGATGTGGATTCCACTGTCACTGAAGTGCCGACATCCAGTTGGAGTTGGAATAAACTGGGACACACGAGGAAAGTGCCAGAGGCTAAGGAGTAAGGAGAGATTCGACCGGCGGCCAGGGATGTGCAGGGGATGGATACAGTCATGGCTCTGCCCCCCATGAGCCCAGTGGCCTCAGAAAAACCACCCCACCTCCTCTTGCCAAAGCCTTTGTCAGACCTTAGACGTGATTGCCCCTTAGAAATTTAACCGAAAGAATCATCTACTTTACAAGTAGCAATGTCAATTGTTTAAATAAGGGTTATATTTGACAGTTGGAAGACATTTTTAAAGGTATAAATCTAACGTTTCAATCTTTAAAAGTTAAGCAGAAAGCTTCAACTGACTTTGGCAAAAAGTGCCGTTACCGAAATTCAGATCACATGATGAAGGCCTTGCAGCCACTGAGAACATATCTGAA